ATAAATCTGTAAAAAAACGGATCACGATAGCGAAAATGCGCCGATCACGAAGAACGAAAATAACCCATAGGAAGAATTACTTGTTCCATATGTAAACAATCAGGAATACTTTTAGTTGTCTTATTCGTGCGTATTTTAGTTATGTTTTAATACAATGTAAATGCTACTAGTGTACATGTTTGTTTTTTAACTAAAGATTTGTTTATATGCACATAGGAAAGGTCGACTATAGGTATGTGGATGGAATTCTATAAATAATAAGCTCAATCAAAACTTTTTTCAAAAGAATTGTCTTTTCTTTCGATTTTTACAAAATACCAATAGAAAAGTCTTGTTATAATCATGAATAAATTCATCCTAGCTACCAGGATTACAATGTTGTACGCCAGACACGCTTTTCGTCTACAAAAGGCTCATCAATGACGATCGAATCATAATATTTTATGATTTTTGTCCTGATACAAATTCAGAGAGTAAATTAATTTTAACGATTACAATTCGCATTTAAGGTACGGCTAAACATTTGCAAACACGTTACTGGCATACATATTTTTCAGTGGAACCAGAAACATATGTTTGTGTTTAGTCCTTACAGGAGTAAACAACAGTTTTGGTTTAGGTTGTTCTTCCTGTAAATAATAACACTTGTTTAATACAGAATAATGAATGTTTGTTTATTGGTCATTTCTAATGAAAATGATGTAATGAATTAAAATAACCTTGTAGTTGTACTCTTTACAACCCTTATAATTCATGATGTTTTTTTTTAAGTTGTGAAATACACATATAAGTTTAGCGTTAGCAACATTTTACTAAGTTTGATAATGAATTGTTATCTTGTGTTTAAACTCATACTTAATTTTTTTCTAATTTAATATTGCTCTGAATTCTCATCAAAAGTATATGTTGATTTGCGTTTGAAAAAAAAATATTTTCGATAAGTGTTTGTATTTATTGATTTTGGTGTCTGTATTGGGCTTTATTTTGTGTTTTTTTTTAATTGATTAGTTATTTGTTATTGATTTCCTTGTTGTATAATCATTTTCACCAATTAAACAAAGTAATGCATTTGATATTATTGATCATCTAACAAGGACCTGATTTTCCAGTAAGTTAAATTAACAAGACAAGTAAAACAAAGTATCATATTAGAAATATAATGTTTGCAATTATGCAGTTATTTCTTTGAGGATATAACTCTGCAACTAATTATTTTTACCTGTGATCAAGGTGAACATTTGAGTTGCCATTTCTAATAATGAAAAGCGTACTCAGGAAACACGCATCAAAAAAACTGAGTTCGGAGCTGTACTATTTTTATTCCACAGATGCAACGACGTCAGAATTTAATAAAATTGAGAATGGAAAAGGAGAATGTGTCAAGGAGACAACAACTCGGCCGAGGAGCAGAAATGAGACCAAGGCCACCAATGGGTCTCCAACACAGCGAAAAAATCCTGCACCCGAGGCGGGTTTTAAATGACCCCTAAATAATAAAGTATACTGGGTCAGCGATAATGGGCGCTACACTTAACTCCGAAACATATAATTGAACCAAATTAAAAAATGACTAGCAAAGGCCAGAGGTTCTTGGAACAGCGCAAAAATGGAGCAATGGTAAACATGTTTAGTGAGATCTCCACCTTCCCCCTATAAACCTAACCTATATGGAATAAACAAACACACAGAAATACATACAGTAATATTCAGTTTAAAAGAAGTCCGAATCCGATGTCAGAATAGGTAGCAGAAGAAACTCAGCAAAATGTCATTAATCAACATAAATTAAGAAAGGACTACTAGCAGTTCATGTTACTGACGTTTTCCTGGTATCACACGATTCAACACTCGAGACATAGCTCATTTCTGAGTTCCGTCGAAAGAGATGAGTCATATTGCTTTGAAACAAAAGTACACTATAGTAATAGTGTAACGTTAAAACATGGTTTTATTGACCACTCCTACCGTGTTTAGGACTTCATCTAGTGTGGCAATCCATATTCTTTCGACAAACATTACAAATTGTCATAACCTCCAAGAAAAAATGAATACTAATTATATAAGAATGCTCCTAAAAGTTTATTATCTAAAGATGTTTCGTGACAATGTTATATTCTGAACACTTTTTTGGGATGCAAAGCATATGTGAATGTTTGTTTCTACTGGATTTAAAAAAAGCCATTATCATTTTTCATGTATGAAATGGTTATTTAAATTTATCAAATTTTTGTTAAATATTGCCCTACCAATTTATATTTTTTGCTATTTCTAACATTTAACAAAATAAACTGTTGGTATACCATGTATACAGATCAAGTATTTTTCTTTTTAATTTTATTCATAATTACTTCTTTATGTATCTCATCGGCTTCATTGATGCGAATATAAATTTTATACTTTACAAGGAATTAACATTATTTGGAAACTAAATATTGTTTGGATGACACCTAATGGGAATTTTCACGTTTGATTTTCCATGGCGTGATTCAATACACAATTTTTGAACCTCCGAATTTAGAACATTAGGCTCACTGTGAAAAAAGGTATGTAAGTTTTGATTGCTCTTATACTATTTTTATTTTAAGTTAAACATGTTATATGATGCCATATTGTATGTGTAGGATTGTAAATTCTAATAGTACAGATGTACGAAATTCAGTAAAGATTTTACTGATGTCTTACAAATGTCATTTTCAGTGCAAAACATTACTTTATAAAAATCAAAGGAGATATGAAATATATGTAAATATTAACGAGACAGCAAGTCAGCGACGTATAAATCAAAATGTAAGGCGACGACACAATACAGTGTTCAAATATAGACATATTTCTTAAAAATATTTCAGCCTCTTAATCTTTTTTCAAACGAATAAATTTTAAAGAAACCATCAAAATTCTACCACCACAAATCAAATTCTTCAAATAAAGAAAAACGTTTAACATGAAATTATTAAGATATTACATCGGACCGTTACTGACACGTTTCCTAACTGGATATGGGCGACTGAAAATGTCGCGGGTTCAAAATAGTTTTTGTTAGATCCCAAACATCTTCCTATATCAGATTGGATAAGTAGACTAACAAAACGGACGTCAACGGACATACAATTAAAATTAGTACAGGTACAACGTCCAACTCTGAAATAACTCTATGATAGATAAGAAAAAAATAAAATTAAAAAACAGCTTATACCCTACACATGTTACATGCATTAACGAATGCTTATAGTTACTGAAATCAAGTAGGCTTCCACTTAATATTAGTTGCTGTAATAAAAATAAGTTTCATTAATGAACATAAGAATCATTAGATAGAGAAATGATATCATTCAATACCGAAGGCAAACAATACTGACCTAGGGCACATTTAAGAAATAAATGGACGATCTCCATCTAACACTATTGATTGAATGATTGACCAACAATAGTATACAATTACCTACATCAATAATACTTTACTCCATTAAAACATATGTAAGGACCATTCTTAGTAGCTTTACCATCAACATTACCATGGTAGTTATATTGATACAAGAAAGACCATTTTCTAGTATATAACTTACCAAATAGTTTGTAATGAAAATTTTGTGTGACTGAATTTAAACTTTGCGAATGTTTTTTCTGTATTAAATTAGTTCAAATATGTAAAAAACTATACATAAATTTCAAGAGATTTAGTGTATACGCAAAAAGACAGCAATCCTACGCCACATTTTTTTTCGTACATCCTTACACATGGTCCATCCAATCATGCCGATAGATAAACGTCTATATTACAGTCAAACTGTAAATCAACCAGAGTATAGGTAAAAAAATAAACACACGTTGTCACTGGAGTAGGAACAGGCGGAGGATGAGCAATGAGGTAATTGTCCCTTACGCTCTCGTCTATAAAAGTTGAGAAGCCTTCAATGATGATCAAGAACCCATACCGATATAGCATATATAGTAAGTTATAATAGGGCATTGTATGACACAATGTGAAATAATATATAATATATATTCGATGGCCTAATTAAGACTATACATGTGACAAAAAAAAATATCAAACCAAAGATCAATCATAAACCGCTGATTTACGGGTTCATGGTTTATATTTTAGCATTGTTCAACATGTTTGTGTACTCTCAACACTAACTTCACCTGTTTAACAGCGGTATACTACTGTTGCCTTTATGTAAGAACACAACATTTAGAACTGTAAATATCAGTTTGTCAGGGTTGGACTTATCTACTAAGGGCAATCAATTTTAAGACATATTCAGCAATTGCGGTCGAGACTCTTGATCATGAATATATTGCATATGGAGGAGAGGAGGTGGAAAGTTTACAATTTTGTTTTCAAATCTTAATCCTCATTTGATTCAGTTGGAATAATTGGAAATAGGAGAGCTGTATACGAGAATGAAAATCAGTACAAAAAACAGTTAACTGGCCACTATTTTTGCAAATCAATAAAAGTGCAAACAACACAAACGGTGCTAGGGGCCGTCTTAGACTTGCTGTGAGCTGAGAGTTGTTTTGCTTCGTGTTGAAGGCCTCACTTTGACGTTGAGAAGAAGAACAGCAATAAAAGCGCTGTTCCTTTGCTTTTTGTGTGTTTTTTGTTGTTGTGTATGTACTGATTTTGTGTCTTGGATAGATAACCCATATCCTTTGTTTTCTAAAACCATCCCGACATAGACTGTTTTATTGGCGGATGTAATTCGGAATAGGTTTCAAACAGCAACACAATAATAAGTAAATGAAGGCAATATACATTTCTCTTTTTTTTGTTGCAAATTGAATGAATACTGTCATTGCAAATTCGGTAAAGATACTTTGTTCTCGGCTTGAAGTTATAAGTGTTATTGTGATGTTGTTATTTTAGACAACACATTTGAATAAATAAAACATCATATAGTTGCTGATTTTGTTATATAAACGAGTCAGTTTTTAGTTATTTCATTTTCAGTCTGCAATAGTATATTAACATGTTTCAAAAACTGCTTTCTAGACCATTGTCACTCAGACCGGCCATGCACAATTTTGATACGAGAAGCGTAACACTACTGATCAGTTCGCTGATAGTTTCGATATCTACAATTATCATTCTGGCAATTTGTGTGCATAGGAGATATCGTATCCGGAAGTCGAAAGGTATGTTTCATATCGCATCTTTCATATCATTTATTATGTTCGTTTTGCTTCAATGAGAAACATATACATTGTTTGTGGGCATACGTATTTTGGGATGCACATTAAAAAATGTGTTTGTGAACTTCCTACTCCTCATTCCGTTCATCAATGGCCACACATGTTTACCCGTATTTAACACATGACATGCGCAAACTATCTCAGTTCCTACTTTGCTATAAGCTGTGTACTGCTCAACCGATATGTGCTTTTACTACAATAGATAAACAACACAGTTTATATATACCATAATCGTACAACTACGACATAGATGACAAGTAAACAAAGTGAAAAATTTCATCGTTTTAGAATATGCGGATCGTGGATTTCAAAAAGGAGTCACCAAGGCACAATTGGTGTTGGACTTACAAAAAGTCAATGCACTAACCTTAGATATATTTCACTATTCTATTATTTTAAAGTAACCATAAATGAACTTATTGGAATTAATCTGATGAGTACATGATGCAATACTCCTATTAATTGTTTATAAGAAAACGATGCAGTAACTCTATCAGGTAAGACTGACCAAAAATTGCCTTTACAATCTTTTTACAGGTATGATTGCTATTTAGTAGAGTCGCAAGTGTTTGTTCACTCTGGGTAAATATTTCCTATTCTTATCGAGAAATTAAAAAATGGAAAAACTGTTGTACATTTGAGTCTTTTTTATTTTTCAGTTGAAAATTGAAACAGTTACATTGTAATGTGAAGCTTATCATAGCATTTCAAGTTTCAATATTTAAACAGCAAAAAGCCCGCCATTTAGGATCCACCTTGCAAAATTTAGTTTTAAATGTGAATATTCCTGAACAAATCAAATTGGTAAAATTCTGTAAATTAATTTAGTATATAGGTAGGTGAACTCCAGATAAACAAATATAATTAATAGTGTCTTTTTTCTTTTTGTTGACAAGTTTTCTTTAGATTATTTATCTGGCTGAAATTATAATTTAATGTAGATTTTTTTTCTGAGCATCTGTGTTGGGCAAGTTGCAAAAATATTTTTTTTTTGCTAAATAGAAAATAGTTACCATGTACATGAAATATCTTGTAATATACAACAAAATCATCTAAAACTTCAAATTTATAGATGAAAGTATAAAAAAGCATTAAGTGTATATTTCAAAAAATAAAATCATTTTAAATAATATATGACGGGAAGATAATTTTATTAATTTATAATAGATAATGGATTTCATTAAATAATTTTAGATTTTGAAGCAGAGATTGAACTAGGGCCTGGAAACGAAGGAAGGTACCAGATGACATTGACACCACTATCTTTACTGCTACTCCTCTACCTGTGGAAACAAAAGGTAAATTTATATATTTATGACTGGACATAGGAGCTGTATATTTCTAAATGGACTGGAGGATATGTGGGAAAGTGTGAAGTTACAAATTTAATACATCAACCTTGGCAATCAAATGAAATAAATCAAGTAGTGCAGCACTGTTCTATTTCTGGATTTAAACATATCATAATCTAAAAAGTGTCTTATATGTATATTAGAATGTTCCTTATTAGTCCCCTACCGACGAAGTCGAAGGGGGCTTTAGGTTTGCACTCCGTCTGTTTTCCGCCCTTTTTTCCATCATCATGATCATGCTTTAAGATATTGATTTGAAAATTGGTATATAGTTTTATCATGACAAGTTACAGATCAAGTTCGAATTTTGTTCCAGACTGATGATTTTGTGCAAAGTTATGGTCCTTGGACTTAGTAAATTCACTTAAATAATAAGTTTTCAACACTTTTTTCGTCATGCTTAAAGATATTGACTTGATATTTGTTATATAGTTTACACCATGACAAGTTATAGATCAGGTTAGAATTTTGTTCCAATACAATGAATTTTTAACCGGTAGGGGACTATGTATTGCCATGCAATACTCACAGAATGCTTGTTGCAGTGAATTTGTATAGCCACAATGTACAAAAATGTTTTATTTTGAGATTTTTTAGTATTTTACTTAACTAGTGAAATAACAATCACTTTATATTGTTATTCTGAGATTTTTTACTTTGATCTATTTGCAGAATGTAATTTTCCATTAGTAAAGGGGCATAACTCTAGAATAGTTTAAGTGACACCACCAAAATTCAAACTTGATCTTTGTTTTGTGGTAAAAAGCATTTTGTTTAAGTTTCATAATGTTTGGTTGAGGCAAACTAAAGTTAGAGAACAGAAACCAACTTGGGGACAAACTGATGGACAAGGGTAAAACTTAATGCCCCCCCATATGCTTCAGCGGGGGCATAAAATTTGGAAAAATGTTTTTTAATCCAAAAATCAATGTCTCAATTGGCAGCGTTCATCTGACCATGACCTCATTTTCTTGGTTCATTGGTTTTGGACAAGAACATGAAAAAAAAAACCAAATAAATTCCTTTCCAAATTTAAATATAGGGTTGGATAGAGGAAAGAAGTGTTATACGTGTATTTATATTTGAACTGAAATTGCAGATTCAGGATCTCAGACTTACCATCTTACTTATTCAATGTCAACTTGAAGACCATGAGAAGACAGTTATTTGTTTTAGATGTGGAAAAGATCTTAGAAGCTTAAAGCCTATACAGGTTAATCATGTAGCAGAGTAAAAGCATGTTTTTTTTTTCTTATATAATGTATCATTTGCATGTTATTTTGTTTTAATTCAGGTATGGTGAAGTTATGAGCAAGCTGTTGTAAAGTTTATATGACAGTTACATGTGCAAAAATACAGTATCCATTGAAATGTTTGAAGACTGACCCATTATGGTGTATGTGATGAAATGAGATAATATTTGATATTACTGAAACATGAAATACATGTTATTCCTTTATTCTGACTTATGTAAGAGCCTATTTTACTAGTTTATTAGATAAAAAGCAAATTAAATGTAAAAGATGTGTTTGAAGTAGTTTAACTCTATTTCGTCTCCAGTGCAAACTGCAAACAAACATAATACCTTCCATACATGTAAGCATGTTGTTGCAATATTGCCATTTTAATTTATCTTTCAACTTATTTTTTCAATATTAACTGTATGTTTTGTGTGCTTTATTCTTGATTTCAAATAGATATCTTTTGTTTAAACTTAAAGACATTTTATGATTTCGAATAAAAAAACAAAAACAAAAAAACCCTGGCATGATAGAAAATAACAGACATATTTTCAAATAAAAAGGAAAAAAAAGAGGCATGCATAAGGTAACTGTCTTAATTTTATACCTACATGACTTACTGGTATTTTTTCCAAATTGTATTTTACAAATTCGTACTTAATCTTAATATGATTAAGTAGCATTAATATATAAGATTACCTGCAAATCTGTATTACCAAAATTATCATTCATGAAAAAAACTAACATACATGTTTGGCTATATATTTTTTCACATGTATAACCTGCATTATATTTAATATTTAAATTAATGCATTTATTAATTTCAGGTACCAAGAAAAAACACTTTGAAGCTAAGAAGATATTGCTTCCAGATTATATCAATGGCTCATTAGGAAAAAAACTTCAACTAAAGTGGTTGAAAACTGGAAATTTTGAAGATTTAAAAAAGTACCTGACATACATGGTGATTTATTCATTCAATTAGGTTTCTACTATCAATAATTATTTTTCTTACACAAGTATCAATTATTGTCATATAGGGGAGGTAACTCCACTTTAACGAAATAGTTTTATTTGATACACACATACTGTAAAGAATTAAGTTCTTTGGATTGTCAAGTGGCCAATGTCATACAAAACTAAATTTAAATATAAATTTAATAAACAAAACAAAAGTAAAGTAAATTCAACATAAATGAAATAATGAAATGAATACATGCAAATGTAACTAAATAAACACACAAAAAACAGAACTAAATATAATGTTATGAAATAAACAAAATGAAATTAAACAATTACAGTCCGCAAAACCTCCATCCACTCTGCACACTTCCCGGTAAAGGTTGAACGTTGAATAACTTTGGGTTGTTCCCCTTGAATTTCTTTTAATATAAAACGGACAGAAAATAACTATTTTCACACATTTTTGGTTGATTCTAAATTGATGAAAAGAACACTAGATTTTATACTTTTACTGCAATGATAACTTCAATGAGCAATGACGACTTGAAACTGCATAATACTGCACGGACTGCTCGATTCGTTTAACATATATTTAAACGGACTTCTTTGTATATTTATAACGGATATTTTCACCGACTCCAGGCGTTGTTATTGATATCAGCAAACATCGAGTTGTAACCATATTACTAGTAACACCATTTGTATCTCCGACACCATATATCACCGACCAGTCGACGGTATTTACTACGTGCTGTACGCACACCAAAACCGGGCCTAAAAACCCCTGCAAAATAAATATTAAACCCAAAAATTACTTACTTTATCTATACATTTGCATGATACAGCAATTTTTCGACATTTTGGACTGCGAGTAAGAAATATCATCTCGACGGCAAAATAGACCTCAATGAACGATATAAATAAGTAAAAATGTCTTACCTGAGTGTTGTAATAATAAGCCTTGGGATATCCATGTCCTAAACTGACAATTATAATACCCAACTGCTACTTTTACCAACTCTAGACTCCGCACAAGCGTGTGCTTTATTCAATGGCCATGTGTCGACTGATTTCAAACTCACCTGCGAAATTTCAATAGGTGCCTAATCACGTGATACACATGAAAGGTCTGCTTGACTATATAGTCCGGTGTTAACGAAAAAAAGCCCTAACATAAAATATAGTCCTAAGTGAAATAGATATATATAAATAAATAAATAGAGTTTGTTACAAACGTCCCTTTCCTGAAGACTAAAGCACATTTTAGTCCAACCAGACTAACAAACTCCAAAACAAATCTGAAATAAACTATATCAGGTATATATGACAATATATGTACCTATCAACCTATATAAAATAAAAATAAAACATTAACTTTAGTAGCATT